TGTTTGTGATGCATGCTTATCCGTACATCCGTACATCCGTACTGACGTACCTCAAGTACCAAGTCGCCAAGTCGCGGGCCCTGTGGAATGGTAATGCTGTCGAGCTGCACGTGCATATAGTACGGCACATTGAGCGAAGAGACATGAAAAGAAATGGAGGATAATGGATTAGCAAGCAGGAAATGGGGGCAGAGAGAGGGGACGAGAACATCGAGCGCCACGAGAAAAGGGACACGAAGTATTGGGGGGACTCAACAACAGGAGAGGTATGGAGGAAGGTGCTACAAGTGGTGGGGGGTGGGTATCGCTTGAAGAGGGGAACAAACGCATCTTGGGGGCCCACCGCAGGATGACTTCAGGTGTGGGCTCCGTCCTCCTTCGGAGAGTAACGCAAATATCATATTGTGTGTCTGTCTGTGTGTGTTTGTGTGTCTGTGTGTGTGTCTGTGTGTGTGTGTGTGTTTGTGTGTGTCTGTGTGTGTGTGTTTGTGTGTGTCTGTGTTTGTTTGTTTGTGTGTGTCTGTGTTTGTTTGTGTGTGTTTGTGTTTGTTTGTTTGTGTGTGTTTGTGTTTGTTTGTTTGTGTGTGTGTGTGTGTGTGTAAACTAAAAATCAGCCATGCACTTTACGACTATTGCATTTGCCCAACATGATGGTGAACGGCTAATTGGCTTGAAGTTTAGTTGGCTTAAAATGGCTGCCACTACTACTACTACTTCTCTTACTATTTAAACACACGTCCTAGGGTACGTGTAGCCCCAACCGTGCCTGATCAGCACAGCGTGCATGTGTACTACTGCCGCTGCTACGGCAACTACCACAACCGCTGTTTCTCTTCCACCGCATGCACATATACATACATACAGACATAGAAACATATGTCTACACATATGTGGTACACGCCGACACATATTACCTCGCAGCCCGACGCGGCTACCCACTCACCACCACGCCAGGCTAGCACCACCTGGGCTACCCCGCCGCTCTTACCCCCCCCCTACTGCTACTGCCTTCAGCCCCAAGGTAGGTAAATCCCCACCTGTGCCTGCTTGACGTACGACGCCTGTTGCGAAACCAGTTCGTCGTACCGCCTCATGCGAGCGGCTCCCTTCTTCTGCTGCCCCTTTGCCCTATGCACGCGCAGGGACAGAAGCATTAGGTTGCGCGCGAACAGGGGTGAATGTACAGGTTAAAAACACATCCACATCCACATCCACATCTACACACACCCCAACCCCCCAAGGAGTAACAAAAGCACGCGGGAGTTAAACCTATATCCACGTACTCATACACACACACATATACACACACGCACATACACACACATATACACACACGCACATACACACACAGATACACACACGCACATACACACTTGCACACTCTCATCCACTCACTTCTTGTTGATCCAGTCCAGTTCCTCCGAAATGGCCTTGTCCAGCGCCGCCTGCTGTTTGGCCTCCAGGGACAGACGCTTCGCCTTTGCAGCCAGCCACTCTGAATAAGTTTTACATGTGTGTGCAGCAAAACATTGTGTGCACCGGAATATATTAATGTGTTTTCGTGTATCAATGGCGATATTAGTTATAACTTGTGCACCGGAATAAATTAAATTCCAAATACAATACAGTACACAGCACACACGAACGAACACGGACGGGACAAAAGCAGCGGGTATAACCGTTAAGACGACGTACAGACAGACACCGCTCAATTACCGAGTAATTGCCCTCGAAGGGGATGCCCGCACCGCGATCCAGCTCCAAGATCCAACCCTGGAGCAAACAAAGCCGCGAGAGGGCACAAGTTACCATAGAAACCTTAAAGATGGGAAAGGCTAAAAACAGCAGGGAGCAATCAAAGTCCAAATCGGGGGCGAAACAAGGATGTACGTGTCCAGAATCACAAGATCTGCATAGGCAGACGGGGAGGAGGGCCCAGTCGAGGGGTGGACGTGGGCGGCAGGTAGGGGTCGGGAAGCACGCAATCTCCCTGCAAGCAAAGGACCTACCGCCACGTTATCTAAGAAGTATCGGTCGTGGGTGACGGCGACGACAGTGCCCTTGAAGTCGGCAAGGAACCTTCCGCGACAGCCGCAGCAAGAATGGGGAAAAGGAGAGAGGGAGGGGGAGGGAAAGAGAGGGGGAGGAGAGAGAGGGAGGGAGAGAGGGAAGGAGGGTAGTGAGGGAGGGAAGTGGGGGAAAGGACACGGAAAGAGGTCCATAAAGATAAAGATGGGGTCAAATCCCTAAACCAAAAATGATGTGGTGATCGCCGGGTCGGCCGTTGATATGAATATATGCGTTTTGATGAGCACGGAGGGGAAGCATGTGTCCGACTCGGCAACAAGCACGGGGGGGTTGGAGGTCCGGGGATCGCCAGCAACAGGAGTGGGGATGGAAGGGGTCCAGCTGCCTGGGTAGTTCACCAGTCGCTAAGTGGCCAAATGACTCAATGAACGAATGAATGAACGAATGAACGAACGAATGTATGGCGAACGAACGAATGTATGGCGAACGAACGAATGTATGCGCGCATGCATGCATGCATGAATCAATGAACGAATAACGAATGAATGCATGAATGAATGAAGACCGCAACCCGAGCAGGTATCCCGGGCCTCCTCCTCTCCTCCCCCTCAAAGCTGTCTTCAGACGCCTCGTTTTCAGGTTTTGAATCGCCAAGTTTCGATTTCCATTCCTTCAACACGCGAACCCCCTAAAATCCCACCATCCCCCCAAGCACGCACGCACGCACCCACCCACCCACCTCTCCAGCCACGCCACGCTCTCCGCGTCAAGGTGGTTCGTTGGCTCGTCCAGCAGCAAAATGTCCGGGGCGGACAGCAGCAGGCGACACAGGGCAACACGGCGACGTTCACCTGTGTGAAGCACCGGAGGCGTTTTGTACGCGTTATGTATGTAATGTCGCAATTCATGTTACATACGGCTGTGCAAAAGGTCGCCGTCGTTGCCTCTTGCCCACACCCACCGCACCCAAATTACATGCATTTCTTCCACCATATGCACCACCCACCTTTCCCCCCAAACACACCTTTAGACAGACACACACTTACAACCCTATACATTCTTACACACACTCTCACACACACTGTCACACGCACTCTCACACACACTCTTACACACACTCTCACACATGCACCCTCTCTCTCACCTCCGGACAGGTGTTTCACCAAAGCGTCAGGTGGAGGGCACCGAAGCGCGTCCATGGCCTGCTCCAAAGTCCTCTCCACTTCCCAGCCATTGATGGTGTCAAGCTCGGCCTGTTAGTGTCGTACACATGTACAACAAAATCGTACATGAGGGAGCGCGTCCAAAAGTGCGAAGTGTCATGGTACAGCGCACATCCATTTGTACATGTTTGTACATGTTTGTACATGTTCATCACAAAACGCGCACGTTCGCGCACACAACTAGACAAACAGACAGACATACAAACAACGACAAGCGGCCGTCGAACATTCTCCTCCCACACACCCACTCACCTCATCCCGCCATCCCTCGACCGGAAATCCGACGCTAATTCCATTCTCAAACCTCCTCCGCGTCTCCTCCCAGCAGTCCTCAGCAGCAGATCCTAGAAACGTTTGCCAAATCTTTGCGCCCCACTCCCTTCTCCCCCCCCCACCGGAATAGCCCTCGACGCCCACCTCAGACCCCCGAAGACGACCACAACCCACAACATTGCCACCCCACCACCCCAACCCCACCCCACCACCCCAACCCCACCCGACTACCCCAACCCCACCCCACCACCCCAACCCCACCCCAACCCCACCACCCCAACCCCACCCCAACCCCACCACCACGGGGCTCCGACCTGTAACCGATCCATCTTGCTAGACAGGGCGTCAAGATCAGCTCCTGGCTCACCCATCTGCAAAATCGTGCAATCGTACGGATAAGTCCGAAGCAAAGGAGCAAGGTCATGGGGTAAAGGAAAATAGCAAACGCAAGCAGTGATGGTTAAGGGAAAGGCGCTGATTTGCCGCGTGACCGTAGGGCTTGGTGCTGCCGTACGTACGTACGTACGAGCAACGTGCGCCAAATTACCACACAACAACATATGTACGGGAGCACACACACACGCGCGCTTGTTGTGCAGTACAGAGTGTCGTACCTGCAGACTGAGCGCCTCGTACTGCGCCAGCTTATCGCGTACATTCTTCAACGCAGGTTCAATGTTGGAAATGACGGTGTCACCTGTCCGGGAATTTGTTTGATTAACTAGTGATTGACAAGCGATTACTTAATCAGGAAACATGACACAGATTGGAAAAAAAATAGTGCAGAGGACAGCGCGCTTTACAATGGATATGCCGGGTTAGCGACGATCTGTGACAGATCTGCCGTACTGTCGTATTGTCGTACCGTCGTTAAGCTCCGGCTCTTGTGACAGGTAGCCGATCTTGATCCCGGGTGCCATTACGATTCGGCCATCCGCCAGCGCTGTGTCCACTCCAGCCAAAATCTTCATCAGGGTCGACTTGCCTAAACAGGACATGACACACAGCGACACAAGCGAGACTTGCCTACTGACATACATACATACATATATATACATACATATATACATGCTGAAAAGAAACAGGTAACCACAATGCCCACCCGTCTATACGCGCACACAGACAAGCACATACGATACAGACACACATACACACACACTCGTAGGCAATGAAAGGTGGCAACTGATCCTGGCCTAGCCGCGCATACCGCGCATACCGCGTAGTTGCATGGAGTACCCTTTTCCCCCCTTCCTCTCATGCCCTGGCCTCCTCCTACCGTAGGCTCTACCAACCCGGCCGACGTTTCCTCCCCTCCCCGCCCAAACCCAGTCCCCACCCGCTCCGTTTGCCCCCAGCACTCCGATCTTGGCTCCGAGGTACATGCCCAAACTGACACCCTTGAGGAGCTCCTTGCCTCCCGGGGCCACCTGGGTATGAGGGGGGTTATGAGGGGGAGAGAACGAGGAGGGTGTGTACGGGGGAGTGTGAAGGGGGGTTGAGGGGGAGCATGAGGGGGGTTATGAGGGGGAGAGGAGGAGAGAATGACGGGGGGTGTACGGGAGGAGGGTCATCAACTCCAGGGGGGTTATCTTCCCTCTCAACGGATGACCCTCCCGGATTTCAGATCCGTACTGGCAACCTCCTGTGGTTGTCCCGTACTGTACTGCGAATCGGTTGTTCGTTGGTCGTACCTTGCGAACTCGCTCCAACGACAAGATGATCTTGCGGGTCTCTTCTTTGTAGGCACCTCCCTGAAGCATCGGGGCAAAAGGCGGTCGAAGGGGAATACGTGATGCGGGACGAGAGCTGTACGGAAGAGGGCGACAGCGGGGTTGGGGGATAGGGGACAGGAAAAAGGAGGGGGGAAGAGTTATATGGTCATGCAAAGCTTAGGCAACATCCGCCGCTGTGCCGACATCCATTCAAGCCACCCCGCTGTCGTACGAGTCAACAACGTGTGTGTGTATGTGTGTGTGTGTAAAGGTTACAAGTATCTGACCAGGCCTGACACTGGCCAGGGGTTGCTGCCCACCCCCTGTGTGTGTATGTATGTGTATGTATGTGTATGTGTGTAAGCGTGTCTGTGTGATGTAAGGGCGAAGCAAGGCGCATTCATCGGATGCACAAGGACATACATACACTCTGCTCCTCCGCCCTTTTCCGAGTGACCCAGCCATAAGCCCCTCGTGGTGGCTGAGGGCATCCGAAAACTCTGGCCTGAACGGAGCAAGGCTGAGCGGAGCCGATCAGCGCTCTGAAACCTCCCCGGCCACTCACATCGCGCGCGGCATACTTGTACCTTTTTGCCTACACTGCCGGGCCCTCCCTTTCACTGGTCGCCAACAGAAACAGAGCTGTGTGCTCTAGGAAAACTAACGGAATTGCACAAGTGGATGCTCGTACCTGCTTGTCGCACACAAACCCAAATCGACAGCCGTGGGACACGTACAGACCTAACCTACCGCCTACCATGTCCATAGTGCACATAAAACGGTGCAACCCTCTTCCGCAACCATTCCATTCATCTCGACATTCAACCCCACCACTTCCTTCTCACAGCTCAGGTTTCCTATGCACACACGCTCACACGCACACACACAGACGCGCGCGCGCGGGCCCCCCCCCGCCAACATACACACACACTTGCCGTGCATTCACACGCGCACCAGCTTCCTCACCTGCCGCACTTCCCCCGGGCTCTTGTACTTGGTGGGCGTGCTGCTGCCGCCACCACCACCACCACCACCACCACCACCACGCGCGGGCCCGGTGGAGGGGGGAGCTGTAAAGTGGGCAAACCGTGTCGGAGGTGAGTTGAGCTGGTGCAAAAAACACAGCACACTAATGTGTGCGCAACAGCGTGAGGGAAGGGATGGATGGTAAGCAAATGAGCATACGCTTCCAATTGGTGTTACACATACGTGATAACTGAAGACACATAGGTGATCTGCATATGTCCGCGTCTGTGCGCGCGTGAGTGGACGTGTGAGCGCGCATCGCGATTTGAATGATCCGAGGGTTGTCCGCGGATTCGCATGGCCGCCCCGCACCTCCTCCCCCCCCCCCCCGGGATTCACATGGCAGCCCCCCGCGGGCGACTCCAGCATGCGCGGACGGTTCCCATTTCTAGGGTTATGGATGCGGAAGTGAACTGAAAAGGCGAGAAACCCATGCAACCCATGCAAGGAAAGGAGCCCGGGAGGGCTCGGAGGATAGAGCCACTGGCTCCAAGTCCCCTAAACTCCGTCTGCCTGCGGTCCCGGTGAGGCAGCGACAGCAAGAAAATAGAGATCAGGCCTGGGCGGCCATGCAAACCCTGGGATAAGGTTCCTGGCGCAGTTTGCTATGGTGCATGACCCCTGACGACGTAAAACACTCGGTTGTGGACGGTGTTCCGCCATGTCGACGGAAGGACGGATGGAAGTACCTGCAGTCTTGGGGCCGCTCTTCTTTTTAGCAGCGTGCACATTTACGCAAAAGCGACGACCGATGCTAGGGATGAGCGTGAAGGGGCTGGACTTCCAGGCCATGCGGCCAGAACGCAAGGACGGCGACAGCATAGCTTCCCAGGTGCCAACCACGAGAGGAGGAATCTAAAAGGCCGATTCAAGGAAGTCACAGGGATAAAAGCGTTCGCCTACAAAATTGGTTCGTGTGGCAATTTGCTTGCAACTTTAAATGGCAAGTCAACGCCACCAGTACATTCGTGCAGCCTCAGATATTTTAGCTGCAGCTAAACAAATACTTGTTGCAGCCAAAAAATTTACAGCTGGAGGAGCGACAGGTAATTAAACCGAACGATTTAAACCAACCCATACTTGCACACGCAAGCCATGAGTTTGCAAAGTAAGCCCCAAATCCATGTCACAATTAAGTTAAAGCTACGCAGTGCGTAGTAATATCAGCATATCCAAGCTTTCAACATCTTGGACCCATGGACCCACCGCTCCGGTGCTGTCCAACTCCCGTGGCTTGGGTCTCCGCAAACATCCCAAATCCCAATATCAGCCCAGGCGCATATTTACTTTCACCAGCCTTAAGCATAGAACCGATTGATATTTGCTGCATCGTGCGTGTCAATGTATATGGATAGGGCGCACACACCGTGACAGCAGCTGACGGCAGCACCTATACACTCCAAGAGCCAGACGATCTTTCTCTCAAGCACCAGTACTACCTAATCTTGCGAAAACCATCTATCCATTCCGGGGAAGGTATAGAAAAAGTGAGGGCTATGTGTACTCTTTCCCAAATCAACATGAATGAGGACTACAGAGGTGCGGCCAGGACGACAGAGACGGGGCCCTTTCAAAAGGGAAAATATACATTTTCTTCTTACAGTTATCGGCCCATGGCCTTACGAGGCTGGGCTTACTCAACCAGGTGAGACAAGAGGGTGTCGGGAAAGTGTGTGTAACAGACACAACACGTAAACCCACTGGGCAGCACCCAGCGCAACGACGAACCCTAAATCCCTAAGTAGGTAGGAACGGTGGGCTCTAGCCTTACGCTGCCCAGCCAATACTGCAAACAGGCAGCAGTGACAAAAAAATCTATCAGCTCGTGCTATCGTGCATGATCTCTATCTCTCTAACACACTCACAACCGTTACCGCGAGCGGCGACAGACTCTGCGGTACGGCAAGCACGAAAACCTCCTCTCCTCCTTCCCTCCCTCTCTTCAATGTCTTCCGTTCCTTCAAAAGGAAAGCTTGTGTCGAGTCAAAAAGCGTCGCTCACTGCTCAAGGAGCCTTGACTTCTTACGCACTCGCCGAGACAAACACGCGGATCCCTCTCGCCTCCCCTCTCCCCGCTCACGCTCCTCCGCTCAGGTGCAGAGAGGAACAGGCAGGACAGCCGTATCGCAAATCAAAAGCGACACCGACACATGGATCAATACCATCAACACCACGATTCCTCTCCTCTCACTGCCACAAAAAACAATTACCCGTCGTCACCCCTTGATGAGACCGTTAACGCACAGCAACAACAAGCGTATGCAGCAGAAGGTCGAGCGAGAATACCGTTAGCACTATCACACGGAACCATAACTGAGCATGTAGTTAGAAATTAACGCAAACCAAATTCACCAGAACCAGGAGTAGCAAATAACATAAGTCAAGGCTGGTAATGTGACCCTGCAGACCTGCCTCTCCAAAGGCGTAAGGCCCAACGAACAAGGCCACAGCAGATCAATACTTAGACAAAAACATGGAACCGCTTCCAGTCGCTTCCTCGTTTCACAACAAAGCAGCACACGCTATCCCTTCCAGAGTCGCGCAAGAAGCAAACACGTACACTCTCGCCGCCACGCCTTATATGCCAAGTCAACACTCCCCGTCCGGCAGCCTGAACCCCACAAATAGTCCTTCAGGCCTTCAGACTACCCTCTTGGGACCGTTAGTCGCCGTTGGGCGAGTCTCGGTCATCCTCATCACGCGCAACGCGCAGCGAGCAGGATTGGGTAGCTTGGTTCGCCTTCTTGGCTTGGTCGATGACCTCCAAGCGATTGAAGACAAATCCTCGAAGGAAAGCGAAGCACCTTGGGATAATGATGGCGATGATGATGATTTAGTAGGCGAACAAGTACTCTGTTGCCGTGTTTGTCGCTGTTGTCTTTTTACTTGCCCTTGCGGCCCTTGTTGGCGGCTGAGGGGTCCTTACGGATGCGAACGCTCTTAGGGGTAACCTGCGAGCGGCCGGGGCAACAGCAGCAGCAGCAGCAGCAGCAGCAGCGTTCGGCGGGGAGGACAGGGAGGAGGGAAGAGACGAGACGAGGAGTACAAAAAACGTGAGTAGCTGCGGCAAGGAGGCCGGGTAAAATACGACAGTGAAGAAAGTGGCAACGGCAGCAGGGCGGTGGACACGTAATGGCGGCACCGTGCGCCACCTTATCACAAAGCAAAACAAAAAGTTACATCAATCTCTCACCTCGACCTGCTCGTCATCATTGATGTACTCGAGCGCGTCGTCCAGGCCCATGGTCCGCGGCTCGTCCAGGCCAACCTGTACGGCATACAAATCGGCCTTACCAGTACGACATCTACAAGTTGTACGACACAACGGTGGGGGCATCCTTCGATACCATCACCAGCACTGGCAGCATGCATGCAGCATGCGACACAGGATCTGCCCTGAAGCTTGCGCCCTTACTTCGCACTTGCCTTAATTTCCTTGGACGCAGCCCGCATGTTTGTGAGCTGCTTGGTCTTGCACACGTTAACCTTTAGGTCGCCAGCCTTGGCGTGAACACCCACACACTGCAAACATGAACAGCAACAACCGCCATCACAAAAACAGCACCGCCACCGTTATCGACGAGACAATATGCCAAATTCGTGGGATAGGGCGTGGGTAAAAGGTAGGAAAAGAACAAAGCAAGGAAAAGAAGAATCCGGGCCAGAGGCCAAAGCGAAACATTTGTAGAAACCGGCCAAACAGTTAAAGAATTTTAAACTGCGCTCCTCAAATGCGGTGATTTAGCCACCGTACGAGACTGAAGTACGAGGCAAGGAAGACCGATAACAAAGCCGGAACCGGGCAGCTAGGGTAGCAAAAAAGGCTAACACCGAAGAAAACAACATCGAAGCCGGAGGTCTAAGGAAACCAGCCTAACGGAATCTTGAGCGGCGCATACCACAAAGCGCTGGAAATGTTGGAATGCGCTTCGTCCACCAATTCCCTTGAGGCCTCATCCCCCACTCCTAGCCCCCTTTCCCTGCCGTACCTGGCCCTCGTACACTTGGTCGCCTGGCCGCACAAACAACTGTCCGCGCTCCTGCGCGCTCTCCAACGCGTACGACGTCACCTGCAACCACGTACGACAGTGCAACTCAGATAAAGTGTTTATTTCCATTAGCGCAGGGTCAGCGCTTCACATCAACTTGGCTGTGATGCTTGAATGTGTCGTACATACGGCGTAGACCTTAGGTAAAGGTATGTATATGTCGCTCTCTTCCCTCATCTTGAAGTGTGGAAATAAAAATACACAACAGGAATGTAATGCATGTTGACCAAATGTGCTCTGCCGCCGCCGAGTATCCAACACATGCTGAGTCACCCATCATCGTCATATAGCAAACACGAAACCAACACATCTCCTCCCTTCGCTCCTTACCCCGTCCCTGCCACATGTAATAAACTGAATCCGTGGCCATGGACAGCCAGCCGCAAAGAAACACGGTTCCAAAAACAACCCCCTTCTCCCGCTCCCAACCACCCGCTCACCTGCCCGGTTTCGTGCGCCACCAGAGAGCCGTTCTCGCGCATAAGAATTTCACCGGCAACGGGGGCATACCTGCATCAACGAACGCATGTTACCGTAATTTACATGTATATTGGACCGCTACATGTTTTCAGTCGAAACTGTTGACAGACCACCCCAAAAGCTATTCACATCTCAGACGTCCAGCCAACGACTCACTACCCCTCCCATTCCCATCCCCCTCCTCATCCCACAAGAAATTCATTACCCCCAAAGTACGTCTTCGGGCCCCCATAACAATTCCCCCCACAAACACTCACCCAAGTTACCCCTCTCAAAACCCAATATCCCCCCGGCGGGGGGCACCACTCGTCATGCCCCACCCACGCACACGCACACGCACAGCCACTCACTCAAGGAAGAGGGTGTTCATGACCCCAAGGCCGCGCGTGGCGGTCAGCAGCGCGTTCTTGAGACCCAACAAACCGCGAGTGGCGATCCGGAACTTGACACGCGAGGCGCCCTAGGGAAGGGAAAACACAGACGATCCATGAATCCATCCATGGTCAGTACACATTTGGATGTGGAAAACGTGATGTAACAGGATGTAGGGGTGCGGATGGACCTAGACCCGGTAGGTCTTACAGGCCCTTGGATTCACAGCAGGATAGACGGACCCTTCAATTCACCCCAGCGGTGATCACCCAGGCCCATCCCCTCTCCATCATTCGGGAGAGCTCGTTAGACCTCAACGTCAACGCTTCGAGGCCACGTGCATGGACGTGCATGCTGGTCTTCCCATTGCCTTTTTTCACCTTCTCACGCCTTTCACGTCCTCAAACCACACCTCTACACACCCAAACAACCAGGCTTTTAATAATCGCTCCGTTTTTTTGTTATCATATTTCCTTTGTGTTAATTAATCATATTAATGTAAAATATGTCCCACATTTCCATTTTCGGTCTGGTCTGGTGACACCACTGCAAGTAGCAGTTCAGTAGGGTTCAGGCTTGTAAAAGCTTTTTATACCTGAATGGACGGAATGAGGTCCACCATCTCGCCCTTGCGCTGGGCGAACAGCTCCACCACAGCACCCACGTAGTTCTCGGGAACCTGCGGGAGCAAAAGGGACGATGTGGAAGGATCATGAAATTTGTCAATTTTTGGATGATGACCAGGGACGCAACACGCGAGTGAGCGAAAGAGATTTTCAGAGGAAGAAAGGTTCCCTCTGGTAGGCACTAAATAGTACTACACCGTACGCGGGAGATGCGGGAACGGGTGTTTTTATACGGGCTACATTTGAGTTTTGAAATTTCTCACAGGTCGGCTGGAATACAAGGTATAAAACGGCTGCATGAGCATCATGCAAGTAAAAAAGCTATCGACCGGGCATCTTATAAGTGACCGCGAACATTGGTAAACAACATACCACCACCAGGCACAATGGCAATCGAAGGCAACCAACCCAATCCATCCACCCACCCGGTTCACACACCCGCCCCGCGGACGTCCCACAGAAAATGTCAGAACAACACAAAGAACAGAAACCCCGACACACTGACACGTGGCCTGTGTCGCGTCATACGACTGTAGCATCGACAAAACACGTGCGTACGGCAGACTGCCAGTTACGTTTGCTTCAAAAAAAGCCCCGTCGTCCCCGGGGCCCTCCGCCCCCTCCCCGCAGCCGCGTGTACATAATAATAACATGCGGCACGACTTATATTACACACGTAATAGTACGGCACTTACGTCAACAATGGCCTCCTCGTACGGCTCGCAGTTCTTGCCGTTGACCTCGCGGGTAATGACCTTAGGCGGGCCAATCTCGAACTCGTAGCCCTCGCGGCGCATGTTCTCGATCAAGATACCCAGGTGCAGAGTACCGCGCCCCGAAACCACGAACGAATCCGAAGTCTCACCAGGATCGACCCTGCAGCAGTTTCGTTGTAGGTCGTCCAGGGACAGAAATATAGGGTTAATCAAGGTAACTTTTTACAGTTTTACGGGTTTTTCCCTGCGGTTTTATCCTTATCCAGAGGGTTAGGTCTTAACATTTCAAGCGTCAGGTCAGGATAGGAAAGCTTGCAGGTACGGGGAACGCACCCCACGACTATGTATAACACACACACACAACAATACTTCGTGGCGAGTCAGAGAGTTTATTGGCCACCGAGCAGGGACGATTGTTCGTCCAATCCCTCCCGTTCCGTTGCACTAACAACCCCCCTCGTTCTCCTTTCACTACTGCTACCGTTACAGTAACTATTACTACTACTACCACTGCTACTACAAATGCAGCTGCTACTGCTCATGTCGGGCGTAAACAAAAAACCCCGCCATCCGCCCTCACCTCAGCGCCAGGTTGCGCTCCAGCTCCCGGTCCAGACGGTCTTTCAAGTTACGCGAGGTGACGTACTTGCCTTCCTTGCCGGCGAACGGAGACGTGTTCACCTTGAAAGTCATGGACACTGTGGGGTCCTCGACCTGCGTGTGTTTGGGCGCGTGTGCGAGTGCCGGGAGCAGGAGAGGAGAGGAGGAATGAGGAGGAGTGAATACAATGGAAGGATGTACATGCAAAGGAAATCATGTGCAAACTACAAAAACACAAAAAGGATCACCCGCCCAAGGTTGATCTGCAGGGTTTAGCATGTCGTTGTTTAATTTCTTAGGGGCGTAGAGGCAACCAAAAGAGGCTGCCAAAAGAACGGCAGAAAAGCAGTGCGTGTGGGTGACCAGGGTGAAGGGAGCATGGGGAGTGTGAAGGATGCGGACACACAACACAACACTCGACCCGACCTGAGCCACAACCCAATCCGAGCCAACCCGACCCGCACCTTGATGGTCGGCAGCGGCACGGGGTTCTCACGTTGCGTAATCGTCTCGCCAATCTTGATATCCGCAATACCCGACAACGCACAAATGTCACCAGCCGTCACCTCCTCAACGGGCACGCGGGAGAAGTTGTCGTACACAAACAGCTCGGCGATCTTGGCGGTGCGGACCTTGCCCGGCTCCAGGGAGCTACGGCACAAGAACACGACAGCGCGACGAAAGTGTAATTGTACGTGATGTTTGATGTTTGCGGTGCTGCGGTGATGTTTTCGATGCTGCGTATCTGTTATCTTAATATTATTAATCTGCGTGTCTTTCTACTTAGTGTTGCGAGTGTGCGTGCGTGCGTGCGGGGATAAGATGGAAAACATGCCCTGCGCGGAGGCGGCCCGTGTCTGCGGCTGGTAAGGATTTACTTGCCCTCGGTGGTCGTGCCGTACCTCGTACGGACCCACCTACCACTCGAACAGAACCCCACCATCTCACACAGGCTCCCCGCACCGACTTACCTGCAGATCGAAATAGTCTGTCCACGGCGAATGGTACCCGACGTCACCCGGCCAATAGCGATACGGCCCTTGTGCTCGTCATAGTCAATGTTGGCACACAGCATCTGAAGAGGAGCTTCGGGGGCCACAGTGGGGGGACGAATCTGCGGGAAAAAGGGGTTACAGGCCCCGGATGGGGGGCGGGGGAGAAAGGGTAAGACGAACCACAGACGATTGAAGCAGATGCCAGAGGTACACGGATAGTCCAGGAGAAGACTAGGGGGGAGAGGGGGATTTGTTGGGGGGGCTAGGGGAGAGTTTGAATACACAGACACAGATACACACATGGATTCGGCGCACTTCCAGACGTCTCAAGGTGACACGCGCGAGAGAAACAAATAGGAGTAGCGTGTGTGGTCTGACCCCATGTGACGGTCTTTCAGAGGCGACGGGAAAAACTTCAAGCAGCGATGAAAACACGAGTAGAATGTACGATGCGCCGTACCTCCTTGACGATGGTCTCAAAGAGCGGCTCCAGGTCTGCTGCAAGTCCGTCCGGCGTCATACCAGCAATGCCGTTGACACCTGTGTAGAACAGAGAGGGGAGGAAGAGACACAAAAGTAAAAAAAAGAGGAACGCCAAAAGGAAAAGAGTTACTTGATTACCTGAACGCTTCAAGGGCCATTACACTCGGGAACATTTCGGTCACGGACCACTGAAAATAAGATTACGTTTACACTTTATTACGCAGTCACCAACGATGAACAACAAACGCATATTATAACAGGACAAAAAACGTACAGGAAGATAAATCCTCCAGTGGTTTCATGCTCATACGCCGTGCTACAGCCGTTCCTATTTGCTTCCCGCGTCGCGTGTAACAAAAGTCGCACCTTCAAGCTGCAAACAAAAACAATTTGCATCCAGAATTGTATTCTAGGGATTTTCCCTCGAACTAAACTTTGGGCCCCCCTTTTTTCCTTAATATTGACCACACTCACCCGAGGCATATACGACGGGGAACTCGCACAGCTCGTCGCTGGCGCCCAAATCCATGAACAGCTCAAAAGTAGAGTCGATTACCCACTCGGGCCTGCGGGTAGAGGTGGAGATAGTGGTAGAGATAGAGGTGGAGGTGGAGGATCGGGTTGGAGATGGGAGTTTAGGGAGGTGGACGGGGCAGGCTTGGTGGTAGGCGTGGGTGGGGTTGGGGGCGCAGTAAGCTTCACAGGAAGGGAAAGGCCAGTGCAAGGCTCCAGTACATTCTTGTTGCCGTACCTGGCTGCCGGGCGGTCAATCTTGTTGACCACCACCACGACGCGCTTGTTCAGCTCCAGGGCCTTGCGCAACACAAACCGGGTCTGAGGCATAGGGCCCTCCACGCTGTCCACCAGCAGCAGGACACCTGAAGGTGTACAGCAAACCGTACGAACAGTACTTCGGAAAAACATCACATGAAAATCAAGAGCCGTCGGGTCACACGTGTATCTGTCTTGAGAGGTGGACCCAACCTGCCGAGTTTGTCGTACGGGTTTCACGCAAATGCCTTTTCCCGCCACTCCCCCCAATTCCCCAAAACCAATGTACAATTCAAACTCTTAACCCTTCCCCCAACCTAACCAAATTGCGTCAATGGTTACCGTCTCCTGAACCATCGGTGTTGTCTCGTATCAGGTCCTCTTCCAGGTCAACCTCCCTACAAAATCCTAGGTTACACCGTTTACGGACTTCACAGCCGACCCATCTCCTTCAGCTAAATCCGACTATCAACCTACAAAGTCACACTATCTTCAACACGCATACACCGACAGACATACATACTTGCCTCCCACAACCCCATTACTCCCCACAGCCCTCCTCCCCAATCCCCACCCCCACAACCCGCTCACCGTCGCACATATTAATGACACGCTCCACCTCGCCACCGAAGTCCGCGTGACCGGGAGTGTCAATAATGTTCACCTGTCGGTTGATCGTGGCGACGGTGCGGCAATCTGCTGGTTGATATTGTGGCGTCGGATCGTTCACGTGCCCTCCACTTCTCAGCTCCCTGCTAATGCATCACCCACCCAACCCCCGCAAAACCCTAGGAACCCCCAAATCGCCCCCAGGACTGCGACCTAGCGTCCTCCTCCTACACGGGCTATCCTCCTGCTTTCCCGTGTCATCCAGGCCCCCCAAGAGCGGACACCAACCCAGATAGTAGAGCCTACATAGGTCTCCCTACAACCCCCCTCCACTTCTCTGCCGCCTCCAAGCTCGCTTCGCCCCCACCTGAAAACAAACGAGCCCCTTCATGCCCTTTTTCTTAATCTCCCCAACCCCCCAACCCCGTCCGCCTTGTGCAAACAGCAGCCGCGTCCATGTCCCCTCCGCCTTAGCTAAATACCGGGGCCCCTCTCCTTCGCCCCCGTTTTTCAAAAGACATCAACAACATTCAGCTCTGGCCCCAGCTCTGCGAGCCCGCAGGGGGAACCCACACCTTGATGCCGCGGTACCGCACGGCTGTGTTCTTGGCCAGAATGGTGATACCGCGCTCGCGCTCCAGGTCGTTCGAATCCATGATGCGTTCCGCCGTGTTCTACATTTCAGCAAGGAGGAAGGATTACATGCAAATACATGTAAAATGGAAGGAAATGAACTACTAGAGAGCTTTGAAGTAGACAGCTGCCCTCTATGCATCTTCCACCTCCCAATCCCCCCCTCCTATACACACACTTCCACCCTCCACTCCCCCATCCCCACACAAAGAGACGCCCAGACGCAAACACGGCACAAACACCTACCTGGTTGTCACGGAAGACCTTGGACTGCTTCAACATGGCATCTACCAGGGTGGTCTTGCCGTGATCGACGTGGGCAATGATGGCAATGTTGCGAATGTCCTCGCGAACGGAAGAGCCGCCCGAAGTGCCGGCGGCTGGGGGTGCTGCGGCAACGTGCGCGACAGCAGCAAGCGAAAAATCACATCACTCACATGACATCACATGACATCACATGACATCAGAAGTTGTACAATATATGATGTCCTAATGTCGTAGGATCAGGCAATGTGTGGTTGCTGTACAGCGGTCGTTTCTTGTTCCGGTATCTCTGCACACCAGCATTGGCCGGGCGTGGCGGTAGCAAGAGGGCCGTGACCCAGTTCGCGGTGGTACTGGAAGGGGTCGTTGACACACGGGGACGGAGTGCGTAGGAGATAGGACGCCAACGCGCCACCCATGACCAAAACTCGCTACTTATTTCAATGGTCTTCGCCGCGTGTATCGGCGGAGCGCAATTGTCCGTACGTAATCACGCCGCGTTAGAAAGCATAAGCCCCGGCCTTTCCCAAAATCCGCATTCCCTCAATATGCCTCCTGCCCTTAATCTTCAGTCTAAAAGCCGTCCCCGTGACGTGGGTTTGCGAGTGGGACTGCACTGCATGCTGAGAAGAGGCTGCCTCTACTCCCTATTGAGGCAATGGCCTCCTTGCTGTCCTGCAAATGCCAGTGTGGCAGAGACAAAAGCGAACGGAGAACGTACCGTCCACAGTGGCAGTGCGGCAGACGATGTTGGGCTGGGGGCGGGAGGGTGCAATTCCCGGAGCCATGCGCGGGATCGGGGTTGCGCGAGAAGCGAGGGAGGCTCCTGGGGATGGGTAAAAGGTTCGGGCAGGGGCCGAAGCAAATGGATACAAAGCTCGGCAGATGGGTCACAAAGATATTTGGATCTGAAATATGAAGGGCTAGGTAGGTGTGGACATGTGGAGAAGCTTGTGCAAAAAAGGTTGCACGAAAGGTTGCACAGAATGAATTGAGAAATTCTTGCCAAGTACTTGTGTTAAGCTTCAAGCTTTGACTTTTCTCCCAGGTGCAATGCTTCCTGATTTGTAGAGATACTGCGCTAGTTTGAAAGAACAGAAGGGCGGTGACTGCGCGGCTTGCCGCTAAACCTCAACTAACACAAAACGATAGCCCAGACGGCTTGATGTCGATGGCCGGAACAAGGGTTCAAGCGCTAGACTATCGACTTCAAAAGCTATGTTGTAACCCAGCAAACAGCTCCACGGCAATCCTCTGCATTTCTGCAGACATGCCCTCACCCGCCGTCGACGCCCCGGACCAGCTCGCAGCAGGCACCACAGCGTCCAGCCGAGCCATGCCACTTGTCCTAATAGACCGGCCCGCCTGGCGCGGCGTCATCTTTGCGTTCAGGACCTGCATTTTTGTGGTGGTAGTTGTGAGGCGGGCTGAAAGCCGACGCCTTTAAGAGGAACAACCGTAGCAGCAAAAAGCTGCAAAACGATTGATACGCTGGGTGCCAAACGGCTAAAAAGTATCCAAATCCGGTAACGGGGAGCCCATATACGGATGACCACCAAAATTTCAGCCGCGCAGGGCCCATTAGGACCACCACAAAGAAACAGAGCCACCCCCGTGACTTTCTATCTTCTTACAATTAACATAATGTACATAGTAATGTTGAAATATTCATTTCCTTTGCATGCAAGTCGCGTGTAGTGGAGCTCTGGTGGAGCATATGCTTCTGCGCGAAGAATACCGGCTGCTGTGCATTTTTTTGCAAAAAGACTATACATTGCCTTGAGGCATACTACATGTAGCCGCGCGTACACGTTGAACGCCTTTATTGAAGCGTTCGGCCCTAGTACGAGAAGTCGCTTCACAGAGCATTGGAGTTGTAAAGTTGTCGTGATTACACCTCAAAGTAGTAATACCAGCTAGCCACTCTGCGGCGTCGTTTTTCGCTTGGAAAGGGTTGCGTGCTGCACGTGCTGCCGTGATATGCACGTGAATCCGCAGCTTTTCACCCGCTAAACATAATGGGATTTTAGGTATGGTCATTTTTGGTATGGTCATCATTCGTTTTGAATATGGTCCTTTCAGCGCGCAAAGGCTTTATGAAGCTTGCAAGCCTCGCATACATGTGGCTGGCCCCGGATTTTCCACGAGTTATGCATGCGGATTGCTCCGACCTCAAACTGGCAACTCGCTCCACGCAACCAGCATATAAAGTAACAGTCAACAAAGGAGCAAAGGCTCAAAGCGGAGGGGCACAAAGATCGCCCGCACGTGCGTGCAACAGAACAGGTGCAAAGGACAATAAAAAGTAAGAGTTCACAGATAACAGCTTGCATGCGACCATGCAGGTCAAGGGCTCCTTAAGCGGCCCTCTCCCCAGACTAAACTACCAGTTTTAGATATTTTGGCCTATTATCGGTTCCCCTACACCCAACCCTAGGTTGCCGTACAACTTGCCGTACTCCGCTAATTGACAATCCTAAATACGTCCTTGCCAACCGACCGCTCCATACATACACACAGACAGACAGACAAACACAGCAAGTAAGCTAAGCTGCAGCATATTGTCCCTGAACTGAAAGTTTCAGGATCGACCCCAACAAAGAGCGATTTAAAATGCCCTCCATTGCCGATGGACGGCGATGAACCCTCCCAGTTTTAGTGAAGATTTCTGCGAACCGCCCAGGCGTGGAGCGGAGTGGAGCTGACACCGCCGCGGATTCTGCATATTCCGCTGGATGTCGGGCATGAGGTGCTGAAAAAAAACCGAAAAGGCCACTGAGTTCGCAGAACTCACGACACATGGGTGAGAGAAGGATGATGAGGGTAGTGCCCCGGGGGGGGGGGGCATGGGGGAAGGTAGTAGGGACTGCTAGGCTAGAGACCACGGGTGAAGCTATGGCCCCTTACTTCTCACAATTACAAACTGCTCGACAGCCCCAACCACGAGACCATCAAGCAATCCAAACTGCTATAAATATAAATATATGTGTATATATGTAGTATTTCTTTATTTGACAACCGACTTTTTGCTTGTCAATCCAAACACCCAAGGGGTGTCCGTCAGTATACACTCGAGCAAACGACGAATCTAGTAACCAAACCCCTATTGCAGGGCCGCCCGTCCTTTCTCCTAAAGGTGAAAGCAAATCTCCGCCTCCGCCTCCTCCTCCTGCTCCCCTCCCCACCAAAACTCCGCCGTCAATTCCCCTCCTATCTCCGCCGCAGCGGTTGACGGACGGACATTATTAATTACGGACTCTCCTGCCCAATCCCAGGCACGGGGAGAAAAAAGCGCGAGGGAAAAACCCAGCTCCGACATGCACCCCACCCCCACCACCCAACACAGTCGCTCTCCCCTCCTCCCCTCTCCCATCGGGGCGACAGCCGAGCCGCCGACCCCACAAGGTACGCGGCCAGCTAGCCAGCACCCGCCCGTCAGAAGGAATGCACCGCCCTACTCCAGCAGGAAATCACAACAACAGCAACAACAACAGCAACAGGAAAAGGGAAAGCGACTGCAGAGACACACACGCGCACACCACATGTGGGGTTCGTCGCCACACACACACACACACACACACACACGCGCGCGCGCGCGCGTTCAGCCACGTCAAGCCCGGCAAAGGAGCGAGAAAACATGGCCGTGCCCCTTTTTTCAGTCCGTGCTCGAGCCGTGAGCGAGGAGGTCAAGAAGGATCTCAATGCAGACCCGGACCTACCTCCTAGACAAGCTGTGGACACGCTTTCGATAGCCGCGTCTCCCAAATCTCCCGACAATTGCTGCCCGGAAAAATTACGACACGCGTCTCTGGGCAAAGACAGCAGAGGTGCGCTCTCAATGCCTTAATTACTAGCAGACAGACAGACTGACAGACTGACTGTCGGAAGTGGCTTGTGTGGGGAGGGGGAGCGGGTGGTGGTGAGAATACCTCGGAAGCGGACGAGCAAAAGATGCAAAAACAGTAAAAGCTACAAAATTTAAAAAGCCAAAAGCGAATCACGAAGCAGCGTTTAGGGGGAAGACTGAGCGAGCGACAAAGGGAGAGTGAGCGAGGCACACACACAGACACACACGCACAGAGATACACACACACACACACAGACACACACAGACACACACACAGACACACACAGACACACACAGACACACACAGACACACACACACAGAGACACACACACACACACAGACACACACACACACGCACACAGACACAGATATCAAATCTCGCCACGCAGCAAAAGCACTGCGCCGCGCAGTACCACGACGAACAAGGCACTCGTAACACAGCGATGCGATCCTTTCCAAGTGCCGGAAAACTGCACCCAAAAGGTGCACCCAGGGCGGTATTAGCACACGTACACATTCGCGCATACATACATACATGCATACGTACACGTGAGTCACATCACATTGTATCACGACTTCAGAAAAAAAGTACCTATCGGCAGAAATATCAAATCCAACGTGACGATGCACCCCCATGGGCGTACATGCACCTGCCCCATTCCTGACATCCGCCGATCGGTAGTACTTCTCTGCACCGATCGGTCGCGACACAAAACACATCAAGCACCTGCTTCACCTGCGATCTGTCAGCAACCCCGCGCTCAGCAGCTCTGACAGGCTGACTCTCAGAAGCTTCAGGAAGCGAGGCAGGAACTCTCAGAAGCTTCAGGAAGCGAGGCAGGAAGCACGAGGAAGCGCGCAATTGATACAGTTTAATCAAGATCTCCCCCAATGCCTAGTGTTAGTGTTAGTATACAGTTGATAAGCCACACCTCCAAGCTCATCAGCTCTGCAGCTCTATTCCCGGGACACGCTCTAACGTCCCGAGCATCCCTCCCTCACCACAACACACCATCACAGCACAGCCACATACAGCACGTTTTGGCCGTGAACTAACAACAAGCCGAGCCGAGCCGCCCACAGTGTAACACCCCATCAAGATGCTTCTTAGGTTTCAGGTGCGGCTCGAGGGCATGTATACATTCATTCAAGGACGTGCATATGGCCTATATAGGCCACAAACAGCCTAACTGCATGTCCTCGTGCTGTTGTCAGAACCCTAAGTTTTTCGATTGCAATAATGGTAAATTAATAAAAGTCATTGTTAACAACACAGGCAAGAACAACGACAACGACAACAGCGGCAACATGACGTATTGATAGATCTGCCCGCACCGGCATCATCACGCGCGCGCGCGCGTGTGTGTGTGTATAAAATACCTTTAGTTCGGACAACGTCTACCTCCTAGTGCACGGGTAGTATACACACGTGCACGATGGAAAAACCATTCCCGGAAACCTACACACACATATAATGCCGGCCATCGCACCCCCCATCGATGGTGCTACAGACACACATACACACACATACAGACCCGGTAAGCTCTACATCTCATTTTTTGGCACTACTGGTAAGGCGCGACCATTGCCCCCGGGAGATCCCGGGATCGATACCCATTAGGGTCAAAAGTCCTTCCGATGGTGGAAGGCATTGCGCCCCTAGTTGATGGACGGTGGTGACCTGGGATAAAGTTAACCTGCGAGCCGACCAATAATGGAGTTGGGCCGCTGTCGACCCGGCAGATTCCGTTGGATGCTGGTGGTGGGTGCGGAACCTGAGCGATCCACTGAAAAGTTGACTAGGGTGACTGGATGAGGGTGCCCCGAAATACCGGGGAAGGCAGGGTTTCGCAGGGTAGCTGCCACGGGCGAAGATACACCCCCCTGTTTCACACATCATACATACACATACACGCATCAGAAATACACCCCACCAACACCGCAGACCTTTCCTCCCCCTTCCCCCCCCAATTCCCTCGAAGATTCTTCAAAAGGGTGATCCCAGCAGCGGGTACATCCGGGAAACGAGCAGAGCGCGCTTCCATCCCACCGTCAAAACCGCCAAAACCACCATCACCGCAGACGTCATCGAAAACTGCAAAACACCGCGCATGCTGCAGCTAGATAGCACATGCACACACACACACACACAGAGCTTGTGGTCGCGGGTTTCTAATCTTTCCCTTTGGGTTCGCTTTCTATCTTCTATCTTCATGAAAAACTTGCATTGCCTGGTCTGTGTGTGTATATATGTGTTTGTGTGTGTGTGTGTGTGTGTGTGCGTGTCTTGACTGCCCTGGTCGTCTCAGGCTGTCATCAACAAGCTCGTCTCAGGTGCAGTAATCACGCACGGCCCGCTGTCCCGCCGGCTCTACTCTCCGTGAGTCTTTAGCCCACTGTACTAACGGCACCCTCCCCCCCACATACATATACACATACACACTGCGAATGGCGGGCGCGCCGTACACGTACACGTAATCGGCGCGCCGTACAGGTACACGTAGAGCTAAAGTCACCGCCCCCGCGCGACACCGCCGTGTGGAAACAACCCAGCGAGTGCCAGGAGGAGGAGGCGCCGCTGCAAGAGGATTACGACTGGGTACCTAGCAGGCCGGGCACCCTCCCCTCACCTCCCCGCTCCATCGCTAAAATGCCGAGATGTACGGCAGTGTACGGAGTGGAAACGCAAACGCTTTCGACCCGGGGAGGGAAAAGGACAAAATTTAAGGGAAAGCGCCGGGAAATCTCCCAAAACACGCCAGCAGCGTCCCCCCCTCTCCTTCCCGCCGCCTCAGGGAAATGGTGCCCGAGCTCCAATAACCATGCGCGCCGGCACACTGCGCCACTCATGAAGCCTTTCCTTTTGTCAAACAAATATATTGGATCTGTATTGTGGATCGATAACCTCATTTCTTAACTCTATAGCGCACGACACAATTATCTAACAATCAAAGCGATTGTGGCGCCAAAGTTTTCGCCAATGCCGACGCCAATCCGACCGGCGGCATAAGGACCTTTCGCGACCCTGGCCTAATTAAGCCACATCACACCAGACCTAAAACAGGAGAAGCCAAATTAAGCCAAGCCAAGCTAAGCGCCGGACACAAGCCATTTCTGCGAAAATTGTTGGGTTCCCGACGAGACCGTCAGGATCCTACGAGGCGAACAGACCTCTGTCTCTCGACGAGAACCTTTTTCCTCCTATCTCCTGGGCGTCCCCTTTTCCTTCCGAGACACATTCCTACATTGCGGCGTTTTCCTTTACCTGATTTTGTGGTTTTCAAAGCCTGCATTTCAAATTTTGCACCTCCCTCACCCCCAAAAAAATCAGCACCTTTGAAGAAGAGCAACGCAATACAAGGTGTTTTAACAAGCAAAAAAAAACATCCATCCATCCATCCGTCCATCCATACATACATACATACAGGCACATCCAGACACGCGCAGGCGCACATACATAGGCGTTTCACATCATATCGGCTCGCGTTGCCACCAAACCCTCAGATAAATGCTGCACACGTCCGGGAACGGCACGAACGGCAAAAAAAGATACAGCCCAAGAGCCCAGGAAGCTTCTTCCCTTGTACTGCAGTGTACGATGCAAAAACCGTATATAACAACACTAATAATATAATGCAAAAACAAAATATCATCAGCCCCTAAGCAAGCAAAAAGCCTGAAGGCAGCAGCTCGGTAAGGAGAAGATCACCGCCGGCGCGTGCAGCTCTACACAACTCAGGCACCTCAAACATGGCTGGGGGAACGGCAGTGCGGACTCCCAACACTCCGTGTGGGGGGAAACCCCACTCACGCTCAAAACCTCCCCCGAAACCGCCTTTTCCACAGAGGCCCCTGGCCCACCGTACATTTGTCCATCCCAACAGGATCATCGGTTTACCTCTTGTAAACTTAAATTGCAGCCGCGCAGTCTTGCGGTCCACAAATCGAGGTCCTTTCCATCGCCTCCAAATTAAGACCCCAGGTTAAGACCCACACACGCATTTTTCCAGGTAGCCTCAGCGCCTCAGCCTCAGATGAGGGTTCCCCCCTACCCAGGCCATTTATGTAATATGACGTATGTAGACGTACCGCATCGGAATCAAAACATGGGCAATCGGATGTATGTATGTGTACGGCGGAGGTCGTGTGTCGTACACACGTGGCCAGTGGCCTTTGGCTGCTTCACTTGATGACATCTAAAAGAGCCCGACCGGATCATCCACGGCTAGCAGCTCAGCCGCCAAGGAAGTGTCGGCGCCGCGCAGCAGCGGAAGCTGCTGCTGAAGCCGCTGCTGCTGCTGCTGCTGCTGCTGCTGCTGCTGCCTTTTGAAGCGGTGCCTCTCGGGCTGCAAGCTATGGCGCACAAACAGGCGGTCACGGTGACGCAGCGGCGGCTGCCGCTGATGAGGATGATGAGGGTGCCGAGGGTGCCGTGGTGGCTGGCCGTCCCCCAGTCCCTCCTCCTGCTGCTGGTGCTGGTGCTGGTGCTGTAGTGGTGCAATGTTGGGCGCTTGAACGGCCCCTGACTGTGGTAGCAGTAGCTGCTGCTGCTGCGGCGGCGGCGGCGGCGGCGGCTGTAGCACCGCCAGGGACAGTGAATCGTCTGTGCCGCCGACGCCGACGCCTCTCATCGTCAACGATGCCGGCATCGACCAGCGCCCAAACTCGGGTTGCATGGATCCATTCAGGTCTCCGGACAACACGCAGCAGCTGCTGCGGTTATTGTTATTATCGCCGCCACTGCCGCCGCCGCCACTGCCGCCGCCGCTGCCGCCGCCGCCGCTGCCGCAGTTAAGCTGTGCCAAAAGTGATGATGCCTCGCCGCCACTGCCGCCACCCCCAGAGCTCGCCTTTGTCAGCCCTAACAGCCGGGCCAGCACCTCCTGCTGCTCCATTTGCTGCTGCATCAACGCAACCTGATGCTCGTGCATGAGCCGCAACTCCCCCCACAGCCTCCGCTGCTGCAGAAGCGCCATGTCGAGGAAGTCCCCATCAGGCAATGAAGCCCCCCCAACAGGCAACTGCGAAGCCGCCGCCGCCACCCCGGCACCCGCGGGGCTGCCGCCGGCGCTGCTGGAGGGAAGCTCCGGCGGCGACGTGTACGGGAAAGTACGGCAGCTGTTGTGGCTCATGCTTGGGTCCGCATCTGAAGTTGGTCTGTGGCCAGCAACGAAAGAGGACGTTTGCATCTGCTGCGGCTGTGGCTGTGGTTGTGGCGGCGGCTGCTCTTGCTGTTGCTGAAGCGCATGCAGTTGTTGTTGATGCTGCTGCGGTAACGGCTGCAGGGCCGCGTTGTTCGTGGAAGCTGCCACTTCAGGCAATGTAGCATTGCTCGTTCTCGAAACGACGGCTACTTCCGTCGGGGTTGCGGCTGAAGCTGTAGCTGCGGCTGCGACGGCCAAGGTGTTCATGGTGGTGTCGGTGGTGATTGCCATG